CCTCAAACACTGAACAACACCCTCAAACCCTGCCCTTTGGAAAGTGTGGAGATGGGGTCTTGCTTAGTCATTCAGTTTTCCAGGCTGGGCTTGAACTTGCAATCTTCCTGCCTCAGCTTCCCAGGGGGCTGGGATGGCAGGTGTGAACTAGCACACCTGATTTATAAAATGAGAAATTTTATATCCACCGCTGTTTCTTTTCTTCCCTATTGTCAGGCCTGGACTAAACAAATAGGACACACCAAACAGGCCACTTTCAGTGAACATCAGCAGCTTCTCAGTAGGACAAACAGAATCAAGATGAAGTGTGCAATCTCCCTGTGGAAGAAGTCCAGTGACTGTCTATGCACCTGTGCTGACCCAATCTTAAACTCTCTCCCCAGATCTCTTAGCCCCTCAATACTCATGTAAGCCGAGTTCCTTCCCCAGTTAGCTGCTGCTGCACCTCTCCCAATGCCAGCCCATCCTCACACGGATGCTTTCCCAGCCAACTGTTAGAATCTCCTGATTTTAGTCATCGTTCCCTGGAATAAACATCTCTTTCCCTCAAGACAAAAAAGCCTAAATGAGTGGATTCCAGTACCCCCTTTACAGTGCTGTACCTTGCAGCTCCATTTCTGCCTATAATTATGGACCTGCCTCTTTCCTTTTAACAGCAGAACAGGGCCCCGCATTTATATGCACCCTGGTTTATTTATTGGTCCTGTCTTTGGTGGACGCACATGTTGTGGCCAGGGTTGAAGTTACTCCTGGTCACGGGCCACCCGGTGGTCCCTGAGCTGGCTGTCCAGGGAGAATGAACCAAAGAAGCTGCTTGACCAAAGGAAACGAAGCCCAAGCCCATCCCTACTCATCTTCACACAGCACTCCAGAAGTAGGGAATGACATTCTTTCCATTTGTTGATTTGAGTTATTCATGTCTTCACTTTCTCTACTTCCTGTTCCCACAGCCACCCCAGTGTTAGGACTCAGACCCAGGACCCATTAGCAAGCATACCAAGCAAGCGTTCTGCCATCCAGCACACCCCGGCCTCCTCTTTGGGGCTCTTGATTCCCAGAAAAACTTCAATTGAGAGTGGCGGGGAAAGGACACAGCGAGGATCTGGGACCAGGTTGCTTGTATTTGGACCCCAGCACTAGCCTTCTGACCTGTGTGAGCTTGAGAAAGTTCCTCAACCTCTCTGTGTCTCCCTTTCTCATCTATATAACATGAATCATATGAGTAACTGAGTGCCAGGGTACCGGGATCAGATGAGTCAATATCTGTCCTTCTCTTGGGTTCTAGGACTCCAATGGTCTCAGAGTGAGTACTGAGTAAGTGTCTGGGTCATCATTATCTGGTGGCTGTGAACAGGACTTGGGTTGGAGACCCCTGGTGTAGGCACACAAACACCCAGGAAGTTGCCCTTGTGCCCACCACTGCCCAGGAGCTCACTGAGGCCCTGCAGGCAAGACAGAGCTCTGTAAGGCTTGTGGGTGCCTAGGGTGGGAGCTGCGAATCTTCTGCACAGTGCCTTCCCTGGGGACAGGCGGCCTCTGGTCCCCAAGAGCTGGGACATTCGTGCCCGAGTACATTCTGCTGGGTAGGCAGCTGCCTCAGCCTACTGTCCAGTGAGGGACCTAAATCTGACATCTTGGGGAGCACAGAGGGGCAGGAGACCAGGCTGTTGCTAGGCTCCAGGCCTTCGTCCCTCCAGCTGCACAGCCATCCCAGCAATGACACAACTGTTTCAGGGAAGACTTGGAGAAACAAGGGCCTGGATTTTAATTACACTCAGCAGGAGGTCACTGCCAGAGGGACAGGAACAGCCGGGGAAAGGTTTGCAGCCACTGCTGCTACAGTGCAGGGATCACTAAGGGCGTCCACACCCACCCTCCTGTCCAGAAAGCGGTTTCCCTTCTCTCCAGTGTTTTGTTGTAAATCCCAAAAAAGCTGTTCTTGCACAGCAGAACTCCTACGATTTGGACCGAAAGCTTGCTGAAATGCAGGTTCCTGAGCCCCACAAATATCCAATTCAATAAAGTTGGCAAGGCCTCGGGACCTGCATTTTAGAGCAAGACCTGGTGGGTTGTGTTCAAGCGATCCCTGGATTCCATTTAAAGAAACAGGACAGCAGCCACTAAAATTACCTTTCTGAAAGGTGATCTTAGTTGAATTTTTTCCTTTTCTCTGGATTACAAGGCTGGTACCCAAATCCTCCTTCTCTCAGAGCTGTGAATGGAAGAAAATATATGCAAACCCACAGGGATAATTATATTTCAACCAGAGCTGTGTTGTGATCGGAGTGACTTGCAAAGTACTTGAGTCAGAAAGAGTATTGTAAAACTTGAACAATGCAAGGAAAACTATTATACTTTGAAGATATTCTGATAATAATGCCATTAAATGAGAGCACAATTCGAGCTCTTTCACCGAGGGAGAAAAAACTGCCTTTGATGATGTCAAAGGTCTCCACTGATATTTTAAGCAGAATTTCGGAAGCTGTCAGATGCATGACCTGAAGAGAAAGAAGAGTCACTTTTCTTGGGTCTGATTTTCTAAATGCAAAACACATTTGCTCTTATTCTGCTTTGATAGGCTGCATAGGGCGGGATGATGTCAGCTGACAGTGCATCTCTGCATTTTGCACAAACCTAATATTTGAAAAATGATAGCCGCCTCCCAGATCCCAGGAAACACACATAAATCTCCATGGTCCATCCAAGTGCATTATTTTTAACTAGGTCAAATGCCCTGACTCGCTCAACACACATTCATCACCTTTTCTGCCTTTAATTTCTCAACTTCTCCATCACGTGGAACATGTGATAATTAGGAATCTGTAAAGATGTTGTGTGAAAGGCCTCAGAGAGCTATAATCTGATTTTCCCAAGAGGTTTTTTTAATGCATAATTATATGGTGATGAATTCACCATCCACACAAAGTCCTTGTCCACACCACACTTCTGGACACGTGCAAAAGTCGTTATCCTGACATGTTGGCCTAGATTTTACTGTAAATTTCTGTTTCTGTGCTCACTGGTTCCAAACAAGCCCAGAGTCGAAAATGGCTCAGTCCCCTAGATCTCTTCTACCCTAGATTGAAGGGTATGGAGATCCTGGTGTTGCCAGGCAACCACCTGCCCCTCCTTGGGCTTCCTGCCTGGCTTGGGTGTCAGGGCAACTGCGTAAGGGGAGGGGGACTTGCTCACCTGGGGCTGCAGTTGCCTGCATCTGCTATTTGCACCTAGGTGTCATGATCTACACATCGGGTGTGAGCCGACTTTGCACTTTGGGTGCAAAAAACACATGTGGGTGTGTGAAAAGTAAAGCAAATGCTTGCTGTTCAAAAGTGTGAAATTCAGCTGAGCTAAACATATGTAATATTATACTAGGAAGACTGGTGGACTAAAGCAAGTCAACACAGAAGTTCCTAGAAAACTTTCTATTTTTCCCCACAAAACTCACCTTTGTGTAGGATAAAAGAAAGCAATTTGAGCACTAATGCCTGGCCTTTGTTTACCCAAGAGAAGTGTCTGCCGAGGTCACTTGTCATTCATCCAACAGCTGGCCAAACACGAGTTTGAGTGGACACGTGACTCTCTCCTCACCCAGTTCCTAGTCTGGAGTGCACAGACTCAAGGCATAGTGGTGTTGAAGGCAGAGGGCTGTGGAAATCAAAGGGAGGGAAGGTAGCCCAGATGGCGGGGAGGGTCTGAGAAGACCCCAAAGGAGCCTGATTTTCGCAGTTGCATCCTAAAGAGTTCAATAAGTCAAGGTGCTAATGTACATATTGTAGCGATGGGACAGTTGGGAAATTCACAAGGACTGGGGGCTGAAGTCCCACCCAAGGCTAAGCTTCTAGGAAGTGTCCAGAGTTGCTCTTGTGAGGAATGTACCACTGCAGTGGCCTACCAAGTACCAGGACACATTGCCATGGCCACAGGTGTCCACTGGTGCCACAGCTGGACCTGGAGGTTGCCCATGTGGCCAGTGCTTTCCGAAAAGTTGGGTGCTTCTGCTAAGACCCTGACCTCCTCATGCAAGCTGCTGATCCTGGAGTCAGGTGCCACATGGTACAGGCCGGTCACACTGGTGGAGTTGGCCACATATATGTATTTAGCTGGAAGGGAAGCTGTCAGTTTGTGTTCTGAGTGTTCCAGATCTGCCAACAGAGTTGTGAGTTGGCTGTGAGCTTCAGGCATCTGCTCCTGGCCCTGGATCTTCCCAAATGGAGGAACTTGTGGAGGTCCAGGACCGGTTCTTCTGTGGACTCCCTTGGACCATGTGTGTGCCACACGGAGAATCCACAAACACACCCATAGGCAGTGTGTCCACTCTGCCAGTCTGCCGCAGCTCCCCGGGGTGTTTCTGCACCCTCGGTCTCTCACTGCTCCCCAAAATGAAACACACCGAAGATCACAGCACACATGTATATCCATCAGTGCCTACATAGGTCTTCTGTCAGCTGTCTGTCTATCATGTACCTATGAGTACAGTTTTTCAAGAAAGTAAACCAACTGGGACAGGGAATTAGGAAAAATGACTTTAGAGACTTGAAGTCACAGGCACAACCAACTAAATGGTAGGCTTTCCCTCCCCACTGGGCAGAATATTAAATCCGAGAAGCGAATCTTTAAAAATGCCATCCTCACTAGTGTAGAGCAGAAAACATGAAAACATGAAGAGCAAATCTAGGTGACTTGTTTCCTCAGGATGAGTGTGCCTGTGTGTGGGACAACTGCATCTTTACTTTCACTAATACCTAACTGAGCATTAGCATTTCCTTTGAGAACATAGGCAGGTGAGGACACTCTGTGAGGCTAAAGACATTCCAGTGCAATCTCACAGACCTTAATACCCATTAGCATTCTGGCGATATCTGAATGCTCATCACATCCCGAGTTTCTGGCGGATATGAGATTCACTACAAGATCAAGTTATCTAACATATAAAGAAACAAACATATTACTGCATTACAATTTTTTAAAATCTACAACTGCTTTTTTGTGTTCTCCCAGGTTTTATTTTATGCCTTTACATAATTCTGAGGCATCACAGCCTGTAGCAGATAGCTGGGGGGCTGGGGGTCCTATGGCAAAAGAGAGTCAAATGGGATCCTGTTGATCTGTTCTACAGAAAGCTGAATTCTATTGCTGCATAAATCATGGACTAAACCAAAAATGTTTCACTGGTACCAGAGGACAAATCATCAAGAAATGTGATTGTGCGTGGGACAAACTTCAGAGTCCCATCTCTGTAATGTTCCTCTTTGACCTCTTAGAATTTGAGCTGGGTTTGACGCATTCCTTAGTGGTCACATTTTCCCTTATTTTTTATATCGTCAGCAAACACAGTGGGAAGCCCATCTGTCTACTCCAATACTCAAAGCCATTGCGACTTTGCAGAGAATCAAGTCCTTCAGGCTACAAATGGCCTGCACCAGGGTCTGGGGTGCGCAAACGCAAGGTTGCCATCATCAGAGCTCAGCGTGCAACCTGCAGGTGATGGACGGGGGCCACAGATAGGGGACAGGAAAGGTTCCTGTGTCTGTGGACAGGGGACAGAGACAGAAGGAAGTGGACAGGAAGTGGGGGTGACAACATCAGGACAAAAGTGAATGAAGGAGTGGGGCTGAGGACACAGGAGAAAGGAAAGGTCTGGTCAGGTCACAGCCCTGGGAACATCTGGGGGATACAAGTTGCTGGATTCTGGGAACCATTGTTGGAAGGGGACAGAGCTGGAAGATTAGGAAACAGCCAACCCATGCCAGGCCGGATGAACACGTGCAGAGGGGACAGTCCAGAGTGTGTGGCTCTTGCCCCATGAGGGAGCCGTGCAGAAGGGCTCAGCCTCTCCTAGTCCTGTGTGGCCCGTGGTCCCAGCTCACACCTGCCTTTGGTCTCTGCTGCTCCCTGTTCAGCCTCTGGGCCTTGGATAAGGACACTTTCTCAAGTGGGCTTTCCTTGAGCCCCATCCCTCCCTGCAGCTGGGCTGGGGCAGCTCCTGTACCCCATTGTTGTCTCCCAGCAGTGTGGCGTTCCCAGGCAGGGCCTCTGCTACTTCCTGAAACACGTAGTGCACACGGAAACAACGCAGTTGTTTCTAAAGCCCTGCCGGTGGGCTAGGGTCACCGAGTTCAGGTACATGAGGCTTCCCTGGGCCTGCTCTGTGCGGCGCTGGCCGCCTCTGCCTAGCGAATGACAGTGTCACCTGTGTCCCGAGCGCAGTAACAGCAGCAGCAAGCAGCAAGGAAGCAGCTGCTCACCGCGCCTGCGGTCGCACTGCCACTGGCCGGGCTTCCACTAGATTTTCTTGTTTTATTCACAGTGTGGGCACAGAAGGACACACACACACACACACACACACACACACACACACACACACCTGACAGGTTACAATATCCAGATAAAATTTACTGCAACTTTTGTAGAATTTAATTTGTGCTACAAGACATGTTGCATAGGAAAACTATTTAAAGCCCCTGAGGAAAAATACCCATGGTTTAAGGTGCAACTGGTTTCGTTTCTTCTTTGGGGAGAAGGGGAGGGACGTCTCTGGGCCAGATGGAGGAGTGGAGTGGCACTTTTGTGTGATGACGGGGATGGGTGACTCGGTTCTCCTCTCACAGCATAAGTTGTGTAGGGCTGTTTTCGTGGGCTGCTCTTCAGTGTCTTAATCAGCAGCTACAGAACAATGCTTCAGCCCAAGGAGGGATTATACATTGATTAGCCTACGTAATTAATATTTCCAAGGAGCAGGTTAAGAGATTCGGGCATCCCCAAGGACCCAACAGCCCTGCAGACCAGCCCATTCCCAAGGTCGCTACTGTGCGGACCTGCCGGGCACCAGTGATGGGGTCAGCACAGCAGATCCAAGCTGAGCCCCAAATGGGAGGTTACTAAGGTAACCCCACACGCCTCTGCACAAGGCGCTCGACCTGCTCCGAGGAGCTGCTTTTCCGTGCAGAATGTGGTCTCCCTTCTGCTGCTCACGTCTGCGGGGCTCTGGGAGCACCAGGAGGGGAAGGTGTACATCTGAGATGAGATGGACCCAGAGCTTGGGAAGGGCTCCGCGTGGGCGGGGAGCCTGGTGGCTTCCGGTCTGCGGGGTGGGGGTGGAGACCCCACCGGCGGCCAAGAGTTCCCAGCTCTGCACTCTGCACGGACACACAGTGAGGCAGAGATAGCTCACCTACACCCGGCACCACCCTGCGGACTTAGCGGCCCACAGATCTCACAGCAGCTTCTACATTGTGTGCATGGGCAGGGAGTCCGCAGGAGGTGAAGGGAGGAAGGTAAGAAAAAGAAGGGGAGGGAGGGGGCGGGGCCTTTCGGGGAGGGAGCGAGTGACTGCCCACCCACCACCGCAGCTCTGCCACGCGATCTACCTGTGCACACTTAGGAGGGGGGTGACAGGGTGGCTGAGTCAGAGCCCCGGGGCCCTTAAATACCTATGTACATCTGTCACATAATTTAAAAAGGTCTCCCAACAACATAGAAACACAATGGGATCTCACCTACCACGTTTGTTTTTTTAACCTTCCTGGTCCATTATAAAATTAGATACCACATTTCACATGTCCCCTCCCCAGTCTGTTACAAAAGAGTGATCTTAAGTTTAAATGTACACTTCAACAAATAGAAAGCTCTTCGATTGGCAACGACCTGCAGTGGAGAGGCCGGCTGGACAGGGAACAGCCCGCGTCTCCGTCCCAGGCGGCCGGCATCACCTGCCTGTCAAGGGCTGTGCAGAACCCTGGCCCAGGACTCGTGATCCAGGCGTGGCGGGACAGGGCACGAGTTCAGATCACAAAGTCGGCGTGGTCCACGGGGCTGAAGGCGGCCGCCCGCAGGGTGTCCAGCGAGTTGACGAGGATCAGAGTGCCTGTGAGGTGCTTCCAGCGCTTGGTGATGGGGCTCTTCATCTTGTCCAGGCCGATGTGCAGCTCCTGGATGACGTCCCGGTAGCTGTCGCCGACCTGGTGGCTCCAGGTGAGTAAGAAGTCATAGGCAGGTTTCCACATGGCCTAGGGGTGTAGCCGCCAAACAGAAACAGGGGAAAAGATTAGGTGAGGCGAGACATTTGCTCACTTGGTTACCAGGACATTTAGGAGTGAGCGGACTGGGCGTGGTGATGCACCCACGATCCTTGCACTCTGGGAGGCTGAGGCAGGAGGATGCACATTTGAGCCCAGCTGGGGCAACTTAGGGAGACCGTCTTGAAATTTTATAAAAGGGCTGGAGACGTAGCTCAGTGTGAAGGCTCTGGGTTTAACCCCCAGTACCACAAGAAAAACAGACAGAGAAGAGCCCAGGGAAGTGGCAGGCAAACAGGGTGTGTGTCTGCACAGCCAGGACATCTTCATGACTTTCCCTACCTCTGCACACATCCAAGGTCACCAAGCATCATTCTTGGCACCTCCCACCCTGGGGTGTCCTGAGCCCCAGCTGCCGTCCAGCAAGCACCCCATGACACATGGGGACTGAGCGAGGTCCCCCCAGGCAGCGTCTGCTAGTCAGAGAAGCGGCCTGGCCCAGAATGGTAGTGGCTCATGTCCTGTCCCCCACTCCAGCTCCCGGCCCTCCACAAAGCATGGCCATAACACTGTCCCTAGGGACCAGGAGCCTCACCTCACTGTCCACCACCCCATTCCTGTCCCGGTGGGGGGACTCGTACGCATCCATCTGTTGCTTGGAGACCTTGGCCAGCTTCTCGGCCAGCTCCCGCCAGCGCTGTGCCACCTCCACAGCTGTGGTCAAGAGCACAAAGTCCTGGACGAGCCTGACCACCAAGCCCTGGCAGTCCATCTTCAGCAAGGCCTGGGGAGGAAGAGGCACAGATGAGGCAGGCGGGACGGCTCGGCGGGGACGTCCGGCCAAGGAGGAGGCCTCTTCTGGACACAGTCAGCGGAGGGAGGTCATGCTGGTCAGGGCCACTGACAACTGCGTCCCTCACCCCGGAAGCAGTGCCGAGGGAAGACATGGGGCCCTGCACCCAGGGCGGTCCTGCCCCTGGGTCCTCCTCACTGTGTGGCAGAGACTTGTGCCTGTCCCAGAGGTGGACGCTGGGCCCAGCTTCCCAGGGCTCTGGTCACCGGCCACCCAATTCTGAGGCACCGCTTGGAACCAAACAAATATGGCCTGGGTGTGCTAGGCTTTATGGTTTTTGACCTGAGTTCTGATATATTCTAGACATTGCTGTAAGAAAATAAAATGACCAGGTTTGTGCTTCAGCAAAACAGAAGGCCCCATCTGTACCCCTTCAAGTGCATGGGTGGAGGTGGGGTGGGGACAAGGATGGGTACGGGTTTAATCTTTCGGTGCTGTGTGGGCCTTGGGACACAGCTGCAGGGTGACCGCAGGTTTGACACCAAGTCACTGAACCACACCAAACACACACCAGAGCCTGTGTCCAGCTGCCTGGTTCCGAAGGTGGGCTTATTTTCAGTCAACAAAACACATCCAAGTTACCTGCTTCTGACTCTTGGCAGAAGCGACCCAAATCGCTATTTCCCAGAGGCTCTGGGCATGGACGCAAAGGTCCTGAGAGCACAGCCAGTCTGGCTCTGCTGGGTAGCTGTGGCTCCACTCGAAGTGGACGAACTGAGATGGATGTGTCCTGCTCCCCTCACCTCGGTGCCCTTCCCATCCTCTGTGAAGCTCGGTGCCGGCTTCCTCCTGCACCGCCAACAGGGGGCAAACTATATTCTCTACGGGGCAGTGTTGAGTGCACACCACTGTCACAATGGAAATGCCTCGTGGCAGGAGGCGCAAGCCCTGGGCTGCACGGGGTGCTCAGATGCACCAGGAAAGTCCCCACCAATACAGCACAACCCCGACTTCAGGTGGAGTTTCCTTCCGAGAGAACCATGACAAGGTCAGGGCCACCAAACGTCACCCACATCGGGACAGACTGCAGATGCAGTGGCTCTGTGGGCCACACGTTCTCCAGTGACTTCTCCACCCTGCAGATGTGGCCTGAGAGCAGCCACAGAGGACAGATGGCATGGCTGTGTCCCAGGAGGGCATTCACAAGGATGGGCGCCCACAGGCCCAGATGCCCACTGTCTGGAGCTTAGGGGAATGCAGTGGGTACTGTTTCGGGTTCTGCATCCCAGCATGTTGGGCCCCATGTGCACCTGAGAGTGCAGCCAGTAGCACCACTCACCATGGGGCCTCCTGAAGGGACCCTGGGGCCCCAGCTGCAAGAACTTTTGAGAAAAGAGCTGGTTTCTCTCCAGTCACGGGGAACCCCTGGCTCCCCCTCTAGCTCCATCTCTCAGCTTCTTGAGCTCTTGGGGTTACCCTGGGCCCTCCCCTCCCACCCGACAGTACCCCCAGATCTGCATCCTGCAGTGGGTCTTGTTTCTAACAGAAGTCCTCTGAAGAGCCCATGACACCCCTACTTCTTCTGTGTCTCTGCCAAGTGGACCAAACTACACCAGCGCCAACTTCCGGCTGCCGCAGGCAGGGGCTTCATTTTTGGTGGTGGCACCAAGATCGGCTGTGACGCTGGCCCAGGCCCTCCAGCACTCCCTCCCTGGGCCGCAAGGCCACCATGGCCCCTGCCCTGCTGTTCGCTGCCCCGTTCCTGTGGCTGGCTGAGTCCTCCTCCCTCCCCATGGGGCAGCAGAGGTGCTGTGTCCCAGGACAGCTGTGGGAAACGCTCCACCCAGGGTATGGTGGGGCTTACTGACGCCAGCAGGACTTGTGCCTCTCTCCACATCTCCTGTGCAGTGTTCTTGAAGCTCCACACAGAGCCAAGCACACTGCCTTTATGTGGGAGAAAATCAAGGTGGACTGGCTTTCATCAGTGAGGCCAGAAGAGCACCCACTGCGGGGGTCACCCCCGTCCCTTGCTCCACAATCCCGGGTTCCAGGCACGTTCTCCCACTCACAGGTCTGTGCCCCTGGCTCTGGCCTGTGCTGTGCACCCTGACCCAACCACCCTTCCCCGTGGTGGGCTCCTACGCATCCCTCAGACATCCGCTCCACCACTCCCATACTCCGAATCTCTCGGGGAGGAAAGAAAGCAGTCTGAGGGTGTCTTGTTCCTGTGGTTGTTCATAATGAATCCTTCTCCAGGGAGAAGCATCAAGCACACACCAGAGACATTCAGTGGGAACCGAGTCCAGCACCTCCACTAGCCCTCACCTGGCTCCTCCTCCAGGCGGTCTCCCTCTGCCTCAGCCAGCAGCAGAACTGGTGCTCTCTGCTATTCAGACCTGAGGTGCCCATTCCAGGGTCCCCTTCCCATAGGTCCTGTGTCTGTGGAGACTCAGCAGCTCCTCCCTGGCCCAGACCCAGGACTCTGTCCTCTTGAGGCCTCCTGTGGGCCAATGTCAGCCCAGCATAGCTGCAAGCACCGCCCAGCACCCCCAGGGTTGGGCACCAGGGCTGGATCCTGCTCTCTGCCATACAGTCCTGGGCTGCCGGGGAGGGACCTAGGTGCTCTTGAGGACAGGAGCCCCACTAGGGGAACAGGCAGACGCCTTCCGTTATGCAGCTCCCTTTGGGGATTGATAAAAACAGGCTCCCAAGGCCGGGGATTTAGCTCAGCGGTTTGGTGGCCTGTCTTGCAAGCACAAAGACCCAAGTTCAATTCCTGGTACCAAAAAAAAAAAAAAAAAAGGCTCCCAAACTACGCAGACAGGGACTGAAGGCACAGAGAACGGAAGCAGGGTGTGTGTGACCCAGGAGCCCAGCAGGCGCAGGGCAGCAGTTCCAAGCAGCAGGGACAGCACTGTGGAGCTGGGCCAGGGCATCCCCAGAGGGGAGGTGGGGGCCAGGCCTCCCAGGACCAAAAGGGCAGGGAAGGAAGCTGATGGTTGTGGAGAGAGCCCAGGATTTGGACACACCCCGCACGTGGTACCATCCCTAACCTCCTCCCTGGCTCACCACAGGGGCTCTTGCCAGCTCATCAGGGCTGTGTCCCCGCTGGGAAGGCAGACTGGAGCTGCGGCTGAGGCTGGAGGACCCCGAATGCCCAGCAGGGGACTGGTCCCTGGAAATGGCCACAGCTCTGGGCCAGGCGGTCATCCTCGGTTCTAGGAGTCTGGTGAGAAGTGCAACTGCCTGCTCCCAAGCCCTGGGACCCAGCTTCAGAACCAGTTTTGCTTTAACCAACCTTGCCTGGGGCCAACCAAGTTCTAGCCCGGGCCAGGTTTCATTTCCTCCTCCACTGGGTAGAGGGGAAAGTTCTCCAGATGCGTTGGCAAGTGGAGGAAACAATTTGATCATTTCACAACAAACTGAAAGGAAGAGACTACACAGCTCACCTCCTGTGTCCCTGCTGGCCCACAGCGGAGAGGGGAGAGGAGCTGGAGCCGGGCGGCCGCTCCTTTCTCACCTCTGCCCACTGCAGGAGAAGGGACAATCAGTACTGCTCATGTCCCATGAAAACTCCTAACCCTTCAATCATGGAGAGTGAGCATGAGGCCAGGACTCACAGGGGAGCCAGCATGGTTGGCCCAGCTTCTGGAGTCTGTCCTGCAGGCCGGTTGCTCTGAACTGCACGCAGGTGATGGCGGCCAAGGGACCCACATCACGCCAAGGACAGAGCACACAGGGGTCCGAGCAGGGCCCAGTTGCCTCTGCCCAGTTCCCAGCGCCTCCAGGACAGGCTGGCTTCCACCCCACTTGACACCAGTGTGCCAACCACAGGGCGTTCCTGGCCACCCTTGCCCTGACACATCCAGTTCTGTCTCCTGACTCTGCACACCTCAGGTCTGCTGGCTGTGAGCTCCTGCACTGTGTTTCCATGGGCCAGCACTGGCTGTATTTTTTATCACACCTCATCAAGAGACTCAGGAAAGAGGGCTCCAGAGCTGCTGCAGGAAGTGGCAAGAACAGTGGGAGGGGTGCTTCTATAGCAAGGGTGTGGGGGTGGGGGGTGTCTGTGGCAGTATGCTTTACGGTAGCACCTACTTTTAATGTAAACACTCACCGTATGCTTTGATCACACGCTCTGCACACCTGTCTGCCGCCAGCTGAATGGGACCTCCCAAGGAGGAGGGCGGGCCGGCTACGGGGCAGGCTCTCTACAGACTGCGTGCATTCCAGCCTGGCCGAGCGGGACAGGACATGGGATCCTCAGATGGGGCCCATGAAAAGGACCATGTTTTGAGTTGATTCAGGACATCAAGGCAGCCAGGACAGTGCACTACTGAAGACACCAGGAAAGAGGTCTCCAGAGCTGCTGCAGGAAGTGGCCAGGACGATGGGTGAGTGTGTTCAAACAAAGGGAGAGCTTTTGAGGGAGACTCAGTGTATCTTTTATTGTAATAAAGTTTTTAAACTTAAACACTCACTGCCCAGTCAGATGGGGGCTCACACAAGAGGGGTTGAGGTGAGGCCGGAGCAGGACGGCAGCACTCCTGTGGTCAGCGAGAATGAATCAAAGCTACAGGGTCAGGAGGGGGAGCATGACTCAGTCACAAGGGTGTCCAGGGGACCCAGCAAGGGCTCCACCAGAAGGAGAGGCTGAGCCTGCTTCTGCCAGGGAGAGGGCAGGGGTAACGTGTGCACCCGATGCCCCCAGGGTGCCCACCAGCACAGTGTACAGGGGTGGGGTTGTAGGGAGCGGGGCAGGAACAGCCAGGCTGCTGCAGGGTGCCAGAAGGGCTCAGGACATGCTTACAGCTGGCCCTGCTGTGGGACACTAAGTTCTGCTCCCAGAGGCCTGGTCCAGCTGAGGGTGTCCCCCTGCCTCACCAAGACACCAGGACAAGGCTGAGGGGAGCTGCAGGTGAGAAGAGCGAGGCCCCACATCCAAGTCAGGTGGGACTCTGGACACAGCCTCCCACCCTCAGAACCACAGCCTGCTGGGAATTAGATCACACACAAGAGCTCCCAAGAGCCAACCCCAGGCAGCAGGGCGCAAGTCCTGCCCCGCCCCCGCCAGCCCCTGCTGAGACCCGAGGGGCCCGTGCACTCCTCTCCCAGGGTTCCCCAGGGTCACACATGCAACCTCCTGCCCCGGGTGCACATCCAACCCCGGCCGGCCAACGGCCAGGGCACCGGGCAGCAGAACCTGGGCCCAGACCCCGCCCGGCGCCCAATGCCCACAGCCGCACCGCTTGACCCGCCCAGAACTCACCATCACGAGCTCCTTCTGGAAGGACTTGCGGTCCTTGTTGTCGGGGTTGTTACAGTCCTCCTTCAGCTTCTCCAGCACGGACGCCACCCGCTCCGGCTCGCTGTCCGGCTCGGCCCGGCAGAAGGAGGCGAGTGGCAGGCCACCATAACCCAGGGCGTCGGCGAAGGCGCGCCAGCTGCTCACGTTCTCCATGAGCAGTGTGCGCACCGAGGCATAAATGTAGGTGAGGAACTTGCAGGGCCTCAGCATCTGCTCCAGCAGCACTGACGTGCTCAGCTCGGGCCCCGGGCACAGGCTGGGCCGGGCCTTGCCAACCACCAGCACGTTCTTGGCGTGCACCAGGCCCACCTTGCCCTGGCAGTAGCCGATGTACCACTCCTTGGTCCACAGCTGGCCCCGCAGCCGGATGCGCTCCTCGCTGAGCAGCGCCACCACGTCGCCCTTCTTGTACTCCAGCAGGTACTGGTTCTTGTTCTGCCGAACCACCGTCTTCAGCAACTTGCCGAACTTGAGGCTGGACACCGGGCGGTCCTGGAACGTGGGATACTTGGTGGCAGCGGCGAAGGGGGACAGGATGATCTTGCCCACCTCATTCTTTTTAAGAAACCTCCTCTGCCCGGAGGGCTTGATGGCACTTTTGGGGGGCGGCTGTGGCGTCTGCACGCAAAACTGGGTGAGGATGGCCTCCTGGTCATCTTTGACCTGCACCCTCAGCGTGAAGTCGGACAGCTCACCAGGGCTGTGCGAGGCGATGGGGAAGATCAGGCGGCACACCTTGCCCAGCTTCATCTGGAAGCCTCGCACCACCTTGGCCTGCTCGCCGGCCTTGACCTCGTAGTTGGTCATGTTGGAGAACATGCAGACTTTGAGGTCCTGGGGCCGGGCCAGCACGAACTGGTGCTTCCCCCACAGCTGCAGCGCCACGGGGGCAGGGCTGGGGGCCTGGCGGGTGACCTCACTGACCAGCAGGGTCTTGGGGGCGCAGTCATGCCCAAAGATGGTCACCACTGTCTTGAAGGACGGGTGGATGTGTTTAGGGCCGTAGAGCCCCACGGTGACCTGTTTACTGATGAAGTCCCACACAGTGGAAGGGTAGAGAATGTTGGGCCCATGGGCAACAATGGCCAGGTACATGCAGGGCTCCAAGTTGTCCAGCTGCACCTGGACCGTGTCCCCGTAGCTGTAGGTGAGGGGGACGGACACGTAAGGCCCCTCCTTGGAGTCGCCCCGCAGACACTGCAGGGCCACTGTGCTTCTGCTGAGTGCGTCACTCTTCACCGCGGCGGACACCTTCATCTCCAGGATGAGGAAGGTGTTCACCTCCAGGTTGCTGAGCTTGACCTCCAGCACGGGGCTGATGCTGCTGGACTTGTCGCTGTTGAGCTCCAGCGGGGCATCCAGCAGGGCCTTCATGGAGATCTGCTGCGTCTCCCCAGGGGCGACGTGGCCCTCGGGCACATGAATGCTGATGTTGGTGTCGGGCAGCTGCACAGCACCCCCGGAACTGTCCAGCTTGCACACAATGTTTGTCTCCACGGCCTGAGTCTGGCCCCAGCCAGGGCTTTGACCTAGGAGGTCCAGGTCGTGGCAAGACCGGGCCAGCTTCCGGTGGTTCAGCCACGCAGTTCGAAAATCCTCCCGGCTCTGAAACTGCTCGGGGGCAGGAGACTTCAAGCCTGTGAAAAAACTGGATGCCGCAGGTGTGTCCGACTTGGCTTGCAGGACAGAGAGTTCCGACAGGCTGTAGGAGCGCTTGCTCCTGAAAAAGGGGTTGTCTCGCTTAACTGGCTGCTCTGCGTGGAGTCCGTCCGTGGCCGGCAGTTCATCAAAGATGTTGCCGGTGCTGTTGGTGGTTGCCGAGCTGGATTCGGTGAATGAGGATGTGCCAGTATCAAAAAGCAGCAAATCCACAGTACTTTTGGGGTTCAGTTCATCCAAGCCGGCTACCAATGGCCCATTCCCGTTCAGAAATGGGTTCTTTTGGACCCCGTTCCAGAAAGGGTTGTTACTGTAGGCTCTGCCCGATTCCTTCTGGTCATCTGTCCACCCCCCGAGCAGGTCCAGCTCCTTGGCCACTTCGTCCGGACTGTCTGGGAGGTTGTCAATCATGCCGCTGTCACTCAGTGTGGAGTTCCGGGCGCTCACAGGCTGCACGTAGGAGGAGGGGATGTAGCCCATCTCGGTGGTGTTGTGCGCGTACCACCAGTCACCACCAGACGCATCCAGCACGTAGAGGTGGTCGCCCTTGGAGAACTTCAGGGTGGTAAAGTTGGTCGGGCAGTAGTCCTTGATGGCGACCACTTCCTTGGCGTTCCCAAAGGGTGTGGGGTTGTCCACTAGCAAGGCACTGGGAGAAGGCACTGCCAGAGAGACAGAGGGACAGGCAGTGAGTCACTTCTGGGATGAGTGGGCTAAGAAGTGGGGAGGTGACAGACTATAAGAAGCAAACTACACGAGGCCCCAGGTGCCACTTGGCAGGCAGCCTGTGTTGTACAGACCCAGCACTCTGACACCTGCTCACTCTCCAATTCACCAAAAGGCCGTGGATGAAGTCTGTCCATCACCCACAGAAAGGCGATCCGCACCGCGGGACAGCAAGTGCGCTCCTCTATGTTCAGAATGTCTGTATTTGTGTTTTTAAAATTTTGAGACAGGTTCTCATTACATTGCCCACGCTGGGTTTAAACTTGCGATCCTCCTGCCTCAGCTTCCCAGAGTGTTAGGATTATAGGAGCATGCCACCACATCTGGCTCAGAACATCTCCTTTACATTGTCTAACTTCTTCCCCGAATTGTTCCTATTTGGAAAGAGAGGCTGAGTGTGAGATTCTTAGAAAACACGGCGACATCAGGAGTTGGGTGATCCACTGCATGTAGCTGCAGACTGGAAATAAGGGGCCTCAAACACACCTCGCAGTGGCTCTCCTCCCGTGGAGGACACAGGAATGGGGACACGGGTTCCCCATAAGCAGGCCCAGTCCCCAAGCTTCCAAGTCCAACTGCCCCTTCCCAAAGTGTTTCTATCAGTGGATAATGATTTTTGAGCTCAGTTGCCTCTGCATTCTAAATGGTCAGAGTCACAGCAGGGAAAGGGACCCCCTGCGTCACGTGGCACTGAGTGGTTTATGTCGGGGCAGTGATCTCGGATCACAGTACTGCAGTCTGCGCAGCCAGAAAACACTGACTCTCCCAAAATGAACTAAGCCCATTTGTGCCTCTCGGCATTAAGTTATGATGGTTACTGAGGCTGGCAGCGACAGGAACAGCACAGACGAGCCGTCTAAAGGGGTGTTCTGAGAAATGCGGCTGTCACAGGGCCCTGTGCTCTCCCTTCCCTAGTGCAGCTGGGAGGACGAAGTCCCTTTGGAGGAAACAGGGGAACAGCCCCCTCTCGCTGTGGCCTTGCCTGCAGGTGCCCTGGCTTCCTGGAGCAAGCATGGGAAAGAGGACTTTTCTTTTCCCCAACAGCTTATATAAAAGAGCAAAGGAGTAACTTTTTGGTTGAACCAAACCTTTCTCTGTTCTAATGTGCTGTTAAGTCAATATTCTATTCTACCACATTGGCTGGCCTGGCTCCTTTGTCTTTGAAAGGGAATAAGGAAAACTAAATTCTATTTCCTTGGCAAAGTCTGAGGAGACAACAGAGGGGATTTCTATGCCTTCACATTCATGAGGTGACAGAGCGGCCCCCACCCTCCCGGGGGGCCATCTGAGCCCTCTGTCTCGGGCCTCAGCTCTTGGCTCTGGGATCTCAAGACCCGGACTACAATCAAGGACCCTAAGAGCCATGCGGCCACTGGGGCCCATGATTCTTTGTAAGGAGAAGCAGCTTCTTGGGCTGAGGGAGGCTGGGCTGGGAGGCTGCGCGTGGGTCAGGCATTCACTGTGGTGGTGGTCAGCCCCCCAGTGACTCCTGAGAACAGACACCTCCACCCCTCTCACTGCAGGGCAGTGGAAACTGTCCCCTGACTCCGAAGGTTTGCTGGGAGAAACAAAGATTACATGGGGGAAAAATGTGCACAGAATTGTTAGCGTGCCAAACTAGGTCCCGGGGTGGTTCAGGATTAGGTAAGGTGTGTCCCAAGACACAGGGGACCCACACACAGCTCCCCCACTCAGGACACCTGAGCCTGCTGTCAACAGAACAGCGCCATTTCTCACTACGCTACGTGCTTCCCAAAACTGGGGTAACACACCCAGTTCAGCCTGGAATTGGCTCTGCATTCCCTAAGGAAGCCTTCTGTGTCGAGTAAAACATCTACTAAGTGAGCTGCCAACCTGTCATTGTTAGGAAGTCAGAGGCCTCACCCAAGAAGAGTAGGAGAAAAAGCTATCCTTCCACTGATGCACCTTATGGGATGGTTACTTTCTGTCGGTCATTGTGGGAGAGAGGGCTTCCCCTCTCCGTTAGGCGTGAGTGCCACAGCCCACTTTGCTCATGGTTGTGCCTGTTCTGGCACTCGCAGGTGTGTGGTAAGGATGGGCAGGCGCTGGGCACACTGAGCAGCACAGAGGCCAGATCTCGCTGCAGGCTTGAGGTGCCGGCCAAGGGCAGAGCCAGTGTCCTGAGCTGTGCCCTTCTGCTATAAAACTGCAGCAGAGACAAATTTATCAGAGAGGGAAGGGGAGGGGATCAAAGCGGCAGCAAAAGAGGGTGGTGTGGGGCAGTCCCAGGTTCCCTGTCAAGGTCCACTACTGGAGTCTGCAGAAATCAGCTGGCATCAAACAGATCAGCAGGAGAAAGGCAGGACTGACGGATGGACTGGCTAACCACAGCTTCCCGGCTCGAAGCTTCACAGCTAAGATCCGAAGACTTGTGGGGAACAATCCACCTTCACATTTGAGTGTGATAAAGGAGGCTGGACAAAAAAGGGTGTGAGCCTGTGGGAACCGGGAACGGGCACCCCGGTGAGGCTGTCTGCAGGGCTGCTCTGGCCCTGGTGCACCACCTCTTCCTCCTGCATGGGGCGGAGCCATCTGCAACCAGGGCCTCCAATCCTGTGGGGACGACTGTTCCCCAGGAACAGGGGTGGGGGAGTGGGGAGAGAAGGTTAGAGTGGGGTTTGGGGCTCAGGGCAGGCCTTGGGGAAAGAGGCCCTATGGCAAGCAGAATTCTGGTTTCCATGCCTCGAGGGGCAGAGATGGGCGGCCAGGAAAAGGTCAGAGTAGTGGTGCTTCCTGAGTGCCGAGGAGGGCTTTGAGGGAGAAGTGGGGGAAGGAACTGGGCCAGGTGAGGTTGGTGGGGAGCACACAGGCCCTTTCACTCCCACTTCTGTGGCTGCTCATGGTCTCTGGTAACGCAAACTGCTTTTTTCCTTGACATTTCTACCGGAAATAGGAATCAGAAACCCAATGAGAATTAAATAAGCTTGTCAGCCATTAAAATCTTGTTAGAATACTCCCAAAGTCATATCCCTATTATGCTCCTCCAGAATAATTAATTCCCTTACAGTACTATCTTTAAAATTTAAAAACTCAAAGCAATTAAGCATGCTTTGTGCACAGCCTAAAACGTATCCATGCAAATTATCATTGTAGCTTCACTGAGAATAAGAGAAGAGAATTCTTCAGCTTCACGGAGAATAAGAACGGCTTCACTTAAAATTCCAAGCACTCTCCTTGGAAGAGAAGGGGTCCTGTATATCACTCAAGGACAGGCTTGTTGGAGGGTGAGGGGCCTTCCTTCCCTCGGGACCCTTGGGTGTGGCCCTGATGCAGCCACACCCCCCAGGCACTGCCACCAAGCACCTGGGACCACCCCACTCAGCGCCAAAAATCCCCACAGAATTCGAGTTTAATGAATTCAGGGGGACGCTGCCCACATTCTCAGCTGCCTTGATTTTTTTTTTTAATGGTACCAGTCATCGAACTCAAGCCCTTGCACTTACAAGGCAGGCAGCGGAACCACTGAGCTAAATCCCCAGCCCTCAGCTACCTTGATTTTAATACAATAACTCCCCTGGGTGTCAGGAAGTTAAGGGCACAGAAGATACATTTTTTACCCCTCTGCCTCTGTTTTATGCAAGCAAAACATTCACCAGGGTAGAAGGCTTCACAGCAGGTATTTGGGCTGGAAATTGGTCACCCTGTGCAGTCTCTACCAGGAGGATGTGTTTGGGAAGCTGCTACCTGGGCTGTGGCCTAGCTCACTTGCTGGCCCTAGGCATCAGAGTCCAAAGGGTCTGGGCACAGCCTGAGGTCCCCTGGCCCTGTGGCCCTCACAGGCTGAGACACTGGCTCTCCTCACTGTCTTCAAATCATTGATTATTTTTTAAAATCCAACTTCCTGTTCCTCACTTGAGGACCCTGGTCCAAACCGCAAAACTCATGCTCAGCCTCTCTGACTCCTTGGGTTGTAAAGAAAAGGTTGGCCATTACCAGACTAGAAAAAGAAATGGTTCTGGCATTGATAGTGACCCACGGATTCTGTCGCTGTCTTAAAACCTATGGTTCCCTGGCTAGTCTCTTAAAGAACATTTAAAGCGATGCTTGGCCAGGAATGGGAAGGGAGATTCCAGGGACACAGTAGAGAGGAGCAGCTAAGTGATGAGTAAGATGTAAACCCAGCCCGTGGACCGGGCCAGGGCCAAGAGTTTATCTGGGGGACTGCAGTTTGTTACAGAAACATTTATTTCTTGGTGAGCCCTAATAGTTCATTGCTCTCCACCCTCCTAACTCTGAGATTTCTCCACCTCCTAGCCCTACCTTACTGTCTGCTACTATGTATATCTACGTGTGCCCCGAGGTGGGGGCTCTCAGAAGTGATCCAGTCGGCTGGCTGCTGCGGGGGGCGCATTATGGCTGTGGTCTAGAAGCGCTCCTCCCCCTCCCTGGCTCCTCCCTGGCTCTCTCTGCTTCCTGTCCACCATGCCCTGAGCAGCTCCCCTCCGCCAGGCCCCTGTGCCATACCACCCTGCCTTGGAGCCGGCCTGCTGTGGACCGAAACCTCTACAAACCTTAAGCCAAAATAAACCTCTCCTGTTTTAAAATGTGGGTGTCCAGGATTGTGTTCTAGCGATGAGAGTGACAAAGACAGTGTCACCAGAACCCTTCAAGGACAGCACAGGTCCTCATGGGGCGGGTTTCATTACTGAGGGACATTCAAACAGCAGACACCAAGAAGTGAGACCGAGAGCTGGCCCAGGCTGCATGTGTAACACGATGAGGTCCAGAGACCCAGGCGTAATCATGTGCCCGTGACACTGGTAAATGGTGGAGCAGAGGCTCCTGGTCTGAGGGCCTGCAGCCCAGCCTCCCCACTCACCTTTGACATCATTAAAGCTCGTCTCAGAAAACCCCTCGCTCAGGTCGATGAGGGTCCCCTCTGACTTGCAGCGGGGGAGGCCGCTGGAGTTGGCCGCCCGGATCCGCTGGGCCGCCATGCTGGACCACCTGCCCACCTGGGTGCTAGGGCCTCATGCCTCCTCCCTCACTCGACGGCGGCTGTGGCTTCCAGTGTCAACTTGGCAGTGTGCTTCTTCCTGAAACAAAGAGGGGAAAAGGAGAATCTGCCCTGAGTAGGGCTCCTCTTTCTGCCCCACAGAGTGCGGTTGCTGGCTCTCCTGTGCCACCCAGTCCACAGCTGCTCTTCCAGGCACAGCAGGGCCTGGGAACTGTGTTCTAGTCTCTGCCAGCCCATCTGAGCTGCCAGTGAGAGGACAACGCAGGGCTGCATGGCCCACACTACTCGCTCCTGGGCACAGGAAGGAGACTGCGCATCCGAGGGGCTGGAAGGAATCTCCCTCAAAATGCAAACGGTGGCCTCCATGTGTGTGCAATGCCCAGGCGCACTGAACCCTGGTGCTGTCATTAGAGCAGCAGCAGGTGATTCTGTAGGGGCCGCTGGCTTGGGGGAGGGGGAGGGGGAGGTGACTGATGTGGGGGGCCCTTTTTGGGGGCCCGCGGACAGGAAACAGGAAGAGCTGAGAGCTGATTCCCAAGGGGTGAATTTCCCATGCTGTCCACAAAACCAGGCAGATCCGCTGCCCACAGTGCTGGGGCTGAGGGCAGGGCGAATGTCACCCAAGATAACTGGGCTCAGAAAGGCAAAGGAGCGGGGAGCTCCACCAAGGGAGGTGCTTGGGATGCACAGCAAGGCCACGGTGCATGTTGGGTGCTGCCCCGGCAGAGCCAGATGGGTAGCCCATGGCTGGAGAGGTTTCCTTGATCTCCAGACCCAGAGGCCGTGCTCCTGCAGATGTGGGAGGATCGGGAGGGAGGCCTGCTGCAAGGATGCAGGTGTTGGCTGCCCGGCGTGCTCTTTCTCTTGTGAGCCCCACCGGCCCCTCTGCCACTCACGTCCCTCAAGCAACCTCTCACTGGGTTCTGGCTCCCGGCCCGGAGATGCGTTAGACCAGCCCAAGCGGGGGCCACCATGGCACAGCCTCACTCACTCTGCAGCCCTTGGCACAGCCGTCACTGTGCTACAGACCCAGTGTTCACACAGCAGGCACAGCCCCCTCATGAGGCCCACCGCTGGCGGTGACAAGGACGGGTCCCCCAGAGCCTGGCCAGGCCCAGAGATGGATGGTGACAGCTCCATCTTCCCCTTGAGGCTCTTGGAGCCTCTGATGGCTTCTGGTTTGTGGTCTGTGGACTACACAGCAGGGAGAGCCGGGGCGGCTGCAGGGGTCCTGGTCAGCAGAGGGAGCAGGCACTTCAAAATTCTCTGCACCGGAAAACCAGGCGCTGGCGGCAAACACTGTGTTGTGTCAGCACCGAAGAGGGAGGGACCGGAAGCTTGGGGTTCCTAACTCCTCAGGAGCATGAGGGCTGCCCGGGAAGTAGAGCCAGGCTTGCAGGTGGCTGGGAGGGAGACACAGTGTCCCCGAGATGAATCACAGATCTGTCTGCTGTGGGTGAGGACAGAGCTGCAGCCCTGAGCCGGCGCCAGGACAAAGTGGAGACCTCAGACCCCGCGGTCCTTCAAGAGGGCAGGCAGAGGGTAACACGCAAGGGACAAGAGGTGGCTGCCGCGATCACTGCTCCCCGCCTTGCTGACCACTTCGTCCAGATCGGAGTCTGCTGTCTCTGCCTGCGGCTGTCCGGCCCCTGAGACTCCTGCCACCCAGCCCTTGGAGGCCTCACAGCCTCTGAGGGCACCACTGCTCACCGCTCCTCCCTGGGCCAGGCGCCATCTCTCCACGCCCGGCTTCACCCGCACCTTCCAGCCTTGTTCCTGGCTTCCTGAGCCAAACAGCAGCCCCGACTTGCCTGACCTGTGCGTGTGTGCTCCTGTGCTTCTGGCGCCTCGGGCTCCTCCACTGCCCTCCTGGGCCCCGCCTGCTCCCCAGGACTCCGGATTTCAGAATTCATGGATGTCGTAACTTATGAGCAATCCCCGGGCTCTGCCTACATTGCCAGGCCACACACCTGTCCATTTTCACTTTATTACAGGAGAATGTTGGACACACCACCACAGTTCCTGCAGGTTTTCCCCGCTATTCCCCCAGTTTGCGCAGATGCACCCTCGTGCCCATAATTAGCCATGTTTGAAGACCAGGAGGGGCAGCAGGAGCAGGCTGGTCACTAGCTGTCTTCCCAGACGTGAGTGGGGAGGGGTGGCTGTGGGCTGGGAAAGCCCTCAGGAGCCCCAGAGCCTGTGCCCGGCAACCTGCACCACACAGTGCGGTGGACTCTGCCAGGTCCCCGTTGGGCCCCTGATTTGGACCCCGCCTGCACCAAGACCTGCACCTCGGTGCCAAAGGGGCACCCAGAATTTCAGATCCAAATCCAGCTCCCGGCTTGGCCCAGCTCTGCCTAGCCCACCACATCTGTCCTTGATGGCACTGTTCAACCAGCTGAAATGCCAGATGTGCACACACACACACACACACACACCTGCCCGGGCCGCTTACCCTTGGTCTGACCCTTCCCAGCACCTGCTCACCACCATCATCTCAGCTCAATTACAGTAATCAGCGCCTCCCTACCAGGGATGCCAGTGTCCAGCCCTGCACCCTGCAGTCCATTCCTCAATCAGCAGCCACACTCCCAAGCCTCTATTTAAATTCCAAGACTTCTGAACTCTCAGGGTGTGCTTACAATGCCTCCAGGTTCTGTGCTACAGGCCCCTGCTATCTCTTGGATTCCATTTCCTGCTAATCTCTCCCTCCTCCAACTCCTCCCAGTTTGGAGGCACGGAGCCCCTTCTTCCACAGGGCCTTTGCACATGCTGCCCCTAATCAGCCTGAAAAGCCCAGCCTACCTATTCACCAGACTGACTGGACTTCCCATTCATGTAGGTCTCTGGCTACAAGAACACCCTTCACCCTTTCCTCCTTCCCTTTCTCATCAGCACTAGACACATACTTTCTCTCTCGCCCCATTCCCTGAAATGTAACCTTTCAGCCCAATTCACTCCTGCTGGGCTGAGGTGGCCCTGTGCACACTCTGGGATGGCCTAGCCCTGCAAGCACGGCTACCCTCTGCCCACCAGGTTCGGGCACGGCTGGACAAGGCAGGACCAGTGTTGGCTTTTGGTAGTGCCACTCTGCAGAGTCCACATTTACTGCAGTGGGGTGGCCTCTGTCCCAGGAGCGACTGAACCACAAGCCCACCCAGGAAGGGTCCCAGCACAGAGCCCAGGGAGGTGAGGTCTCACAAAAGGCAGCTAGCACTGGCCTAAAAGTGTGGCTCCAGGTCCCTCCCGCCAGTTCCCACCCTGCCCTAAGGTACTTATAATTTCCAGGCATCCAGCTGACTTCATCGACTTCCTCCAGCTTGCAGAAAGTGTGACTTCCATCACCAGCCTCCCCCATGCCACCCCCTAAAAGCAGGGTGCTCCGGGGAATGTCTGGTTTCTACAGGGTCATTCTGGCCGCCACCGGGTTCAAACCCAGCCACCTCTCCCTCAGTGAAGGTAAAGCCACCTGCGACAGGGCCCTGTGCTGGCATGTCCAGGGGTGGCCCCGCAGGAACTTCAAATCCGCCCCCTCCCATGGGACATTAGCAGGAGCCACCCTGGGCACCTGGACACCGGACTCGCTTGCCAGTGTCCCTGCAGGATGTTTCAGGACACCGTGGGCTGGGAGCCGAGCTCTCCAGGTCCAGACCCTGGACCTGGAGGTGCCATGCCCGTCTGGATGTCACACAGGGTCACCCCGCAGCGCCGAGGAGGAGCACAGGTTCTAGGAACCGGGTCCGTGCTCAGCACTGGGGACAGACACCAAGCCCAGTCTGCTTCTGGGAAATCCCTGTGGGACACAGACACAGAGAGCGTGGGGTTGGGAAGGCTGGGACCTGTGGGTCCTGCAAGGGGCCGGGAGGGGCAGTCCCTCTGTCTCCACCACGCCAGTTGCAGGATCATTGTTCTCAGTGCATAGACGCACTCCAGTGCTTCCTCACATCTGGGGGAACAGGGCCCGGGGGCTCCTGAAGTCTACAGGGGACGACGGGATGCCGTGGCCCCCGGGTCTAACATGGCTGCTGTTCCCTTCAAGACTTCTGGGCTGCTCGTGACCCCACTTTCTCGACAGCCCTACAGGGCTGTGATCCCTGCCCTTTCCAGATGGACAGACGCCGCAAGGGAGTGCCCTTGGAAATGGGATGCCGGAGCCCTCCCGGGACCCCAGGTATGTTCCAGGGGTTTGTCCTGCGCCCATCCTGAGAGTGTCACAGCTGCTATTCTGCTCGTTGTTTCTTCTTGGTCACCCACCCCCCTCCCTCCCTTCCTTCTTCCTTCCTTCCTTCCTTCCTTCCTTCCTTCCTGGTGGCTCTGCCGCTGCATGGGGCCATCTGCTGGCTCAGCACCACAGGTCCCCATGCCACAGCGAATGCCGAGTGTGGGACCTGCTCCCTTCTCTCCACTACTTGCCACCAGCTGGGAAGAACAGGGCAGCGTTCTCATTTTCTTCAAGGATGTGGGAGGAGACGGCTGGCCAGCGACACCTTGTGTGTTGGTTGTGCCATGTGGCGCCTTCATCTGTCCCCAGACGCCCTGTCACCCTCCTGCTGAAAACCACACAGGGTTCGAGACTAACCCCACTGTGCCCCTCAAGTGCCCCCCAAACCTGGGATAAAGAGGCCGCTCGTGTCCACAGTGGTTTGTGGTCAGGCCTGAGATGCAGCGGCCGGCAGGCAGTCTGGGAAGGAGGTCTTGTGATCGACCAACCAGGCTTCTGGGCCAGTGCCAGCTGGGAGGAGAATGCAGTGATCTCCGCGGTGCCCATTCATCCAGCTCCTGACCCTGGCAGCTCCTAGCTGAAGACACAGAAGGGCACAAGGAGGGCTTGTGACTTCCACATGCGGGCCCGATGTGCCACACTCCTTAACAAAGAGGATATGTAGACTCTGCTCTCCAAGTCTGTGCACTGCTGGAGGCTGAGGGTCGTTTTGTAGGCATCATTATTATGGCCTCAGACAGACCTAAAGTGTGTGTGCTTCCTGAGAACTCACAGAAACTTCCAGCCAACCTCAGATCCCTCTCTGGGAGGCAGCTCTGGCTGGCCCACTCCTGCCTAGGTGAGGGAGGGAGGCTGCGTGTCCCGGGAGGGATGTCCCTGGACTCCTCAGGGGGATGAGCAGGAGGAGGCAGCTTCTAGGGTCTCGGGTGGCCGTGTACCTGCCGAGTCCTCATCAGTGACTCCCACGCACCGAGTCTGTGGCTCCTGTTCAAGACGGGCATCGAATACCTCGGAGACAGGACAAGGCGAAAGGAAAACCAAGGAGCACAGAGCTGGGCCAGGAAAGGCTGGAAGGCGATCAACGGCCGTCCCCGGGATGCCCAGCTCTCCATGCACAAACCTTCAGGGCACTGCCAGGCAGGGCGACTACGTGGGGACAGGGAACTCAAGGCCCCTCCATGCTTCACTGGAGAAGCGTGAGGCTCTGGGCCAGGCAGACTGGCGGCTGCTGCGGAAGAGAGCAGCTTCAGTGCCACCCACTACATGACTGAGAACCGAGGGCCTTGTCCAGTGAGCAATCAGCAAAATTGTGGCAGTGAATGGATGGATCTACTTACGGATGAGCCACCACGCTCCTGAATTACTAATCAAGATATTCGGAGCAGTAAGCCCATCACAGATCCACACACCACCAATATTCACCAGGGGAAGGCAAGAGGAGTGAATTCTGTCTCCCCTGCCCGACTAGTGCCCCTCAAACACATCTGTGCTTGGAAAATGAAGGACGTGGACAGCGTGCTTACAGATACAGGAGCCCTGGATCTCACGACACCCGAAGGAGAGTGTGTATCTCCTGAATGGGGAAAAGAGCCCTGAAATACACTGTCTGAGACTATTTAATAGAATGCAAAGTCCATACGATGTAATACGAGGATAAATTAAATCCACAAAATTTTACTCTTACTTGGTTTTCAAAGAGGAACATCAGACAGACAGAGAAGTAAATTCTGTTCTGAATGCTCACTTCTTTACCAGGTGACAAACATAAGCTTTCTTCCTCCTGTTTAAAATGTTCTAAATTGTCTTTTTATAATTAAAAATTGTATTTTATAAAACAAACCCCCCATTGTTGATCTCACTGAGCCAGCCCTGATGATTCCAGCTCTGCAAGCCCCATTGAGGGCAGGCACTGGGTCCTGGAGCCTACCCTTGAGGGAGCCCCTGGCATGAGGTGCGTTGTAATCCAGCATGTGGGACGCCAGCCTTCCCAGCCCACTCTGCGATCTGGGGTAGATCTAGGGACACAGGCCACCTGAGAGGAAGGAGGTTTTGAGAAGGGACAAGATGTCAGGAACAGGCAGTGTGGACCAGGCCAACTGGGCCCGTCCACAGTTCTGCCAGCAAAAGCCAGCCTAACCCTGTTCCTCCTCCTCCTCTCCCCAAGTTCCTACGATAAAGCACCCAGAAGCAACCACTCTGCACCCAACCTTGGATGAATTTCTCACGGCAACTTCCTGCAGCCTTGCCAAATGCTTTCCGGGATGCTGTGGTCCTGCCTAGCCAATCTGACGGGGGTGAGAGTGTCGGAGTGTAAATTTGCCTTCCTTTAGAAATTTCTCAGATGCTGGTGTCCTGGCTGAATGCATGAACCACAGTCCAGGGGAACCAGGCAGCCTGGTAACTGCCCCGTCTTAGCTGCATAAGCTCTCGCTCAGCTTTCTGAACCACGAAGAAACAGGCTACTGACAAGTCTCTCACAACGTGCCCCGTTGGGCAACACTGACTGTATCTGCTACTTCTTATTTTCTCCCTCGTGGACTCTCATTCTGCAGCTTTTGCTCAGTTGCATTTGCAAACTTCACCTCCCCAATCACTGATATGCTCCCCATGCCGGTGCTCACACTACACCATCTGCTAACTTGGCAGCGTCTCCACGATGCACTCCTATCGACCCTGCACTGGGGAAAGGCCTCCTTTAACAAGTCAGGGAAGCGTTCCCACCTATCTTCCTTCATTTAAAAAGCTGGTTTGAAGCCAGGGATTTAGTTCAGTGGTTCCACCGCCTGCCTCTCAAGTGCAAGGTCCTGAGTTCAATCCCCAGTACCAGAAAAAAACAAAACCAAAAACAAACAAAAACAAACAAAAAAAAAAAACCCAAAACTGGTTTGTGTGCTGACGTTAGTGTACAAAGAAATAATTTTGCTTCTCAGGGAGGAATTTCACAAAATTAATTAGCCAAGAGCTAAGCAATTATTCCTTCATGGAGTTCTGAAACAACACATCTCCTCTGACTGATGTAATGTCACTTTCATGCATTTTAATGGTCACAGACTCGAGGGCCAGTTTCACGTCATTAGCCTGCCGATTCCTACAACGTGATCCACCCTTACTTAACTACAGCAGTCTTACCGTGTACAGGAACTATACCAATGGACTAGTCTCCTTTAAGGGTCTACCAGTTATTTTCCCCTAATTTTTTTGTTCCAAATGAACTTTAGGACAATTTAGTAATGATTTCCCACCATTTAATTCCCTCAAAAAAGTAATCCCACAGTAATTTTTTTTCCAGGTACTGCATTGGTAACAACTAACACTTTTTCTTCTAGAAATTCACTTTTTCTAATTCACTTTTTCTTCTAGAAACATGGTGGGTTTCTATTTATTTAATTTTCTTTGCAGGGATACAGAGCAAATTAAACTTTCAGGCCCAAACATTCTCTATCACAAAGGCTCAATTCTGTTCTTGTATGAAAAGAGCCATAAATGATACTCAGCAAGTGATGGTGACCATGTTCTAATAAAGCTTTATTTATAAAACACAAGTGGTGGGCCATGGGACCTCACCACCACCGTGCTAAGATTAGGAGCGAGTGAGGCTCCATGCAGACCGGAGTCCAGCTGTCAGACTCAGAGCCTGGGACCCACCACAAGTTCTCGGCTGGTGACTTAGTGAAAAAAAAAAATCACTCTTTCCAGAAAACACTTCCAGAACACTTGAAAAACTTTTAGATTTGAGTTTGGCAGTGTCTTGACTGTGAATGTTATCTCTTTCTCCTACTCTGAGGGAATTATTGCTGGCAAAGGTAAGTCATTGAGTTCTCCACCTCAGCATTTTTAGAAGCCACACGAAGAGGTGGCTTGACGGATGTGATCTGTGAGATACTCTGGGGTTGGGCCTCTTCCAGTTTGAGCTGGCCGCAGCAGGACAAACTGTGGTGACCATGAAATTCATGCCTTTGTGCCACCAACACCACCATCCCCACACTGAGAGTTCTCTCTCCTCTTTGCCTGAATCCAGTACCTTGGGTCTAGCAGTACCTTGGGTGACAGTCATCCCCCACTGTCATCCTGGTACCTGCGCCCTGATGAGCAGCTGGGTTCACTGAAGCACCTCCCACCAGTCAGTCTCCTGGGTCCCCTCACACTCACATACCCAAGTCATTCTCCCTAGAGCATCACGGGCCGGAAACCGGGACCAACTCTCCCGTAGGACTTGGTGGTCCTCTCTGGTCACCGAGCTCTGCACCCCAGAACTCTGCACCCTTGGCCTCAGGTCACTGTCCCAGCCTCGGGTCCCCTGGCCACACAACAGCGCGCTCGCACCCTTCTTCTGATTTCTCTTCTGCACTGGCCTCCCGTCCACCACCACTTTGTCTATTTCCTGGCTCTCTCAGAAGGTGAGCTCTACCAGGGAACCCTGCCTGTCCCTACAAGGGACCCACTGGGCGTTACTCAGTCACTCAAGGAAACGAGTGAGGTCTGGAAACAGGAAGCCAGGGCTCCACATCGCCGTGTTCTGCTCTCCTTTGGCCCAGAAACACTGGGCTGACGGATTCTCAGCTACCAGAAAGACTCGAAGTTTAAATCCACTTAAGGATGCTGTTCTGATCAAAAATCTCCAGGAACTTTTGCTCGCCAAAGATCACAAGTCAGGGTGGTGGTGGCGGAGAGTATTGGCCGTTCAGTGAAGTCTCCCCAAAGCAGGATTGGGCTGTGTCCCATGAGAGCCTGTGGCTACCTATTTTAAACAGGAAAGCAGCCACTTGTTTCCTGTGTGTCCCCAAGGCAGACCCAGGGGCACAGCCTCCTGCTGCTCCCCACCAGAGGAGGGTGCAGGGCCGAAGTTTTGCTGACTCCTGGCCCCTAGCTCAGCACTGCACCCACAACAGAGGCTGTGTTTACAGCAGTACTCAGATTCCTGCGGAGTGACCTCAGCCACCATGATAAGGTGCAGGAAAGTACCATCTCCACCCCGCCCCAGCTGTGGTGATGACCTCCCAGACACCGCAGGTGGCCCGAGACCCTGGGGCTTGCTGTGGAAATCTGGCCTCACGCAGCGGCACCAGCAAGTCCTGTTGGGGGGAGTGGGGGATGGTGAGTTCTATGTGGAAGGCGTTTGATGCACAGTGATGGGGTGTGGGCATGGGCCCAAGTGAGTGTCCCAGCTGTGTTTCAGAAAGAACCCCAAACTGGCTGAATGTCAGCAGTTTTATGGGGTTCAACCTAAAAGCCACATGTGGAAACAATTAATTACGTATCTGCTCATAAATTCGGCATGGCCTGTAATTCTGAGAGGGATGGCAGTTCAGGGAGCGGCTGGGGGAGTGGCCAGCCCAGCACCCTGGAGGAGTGTAGTGGGCAAGGTGGAGCCAAGCCTGGGCAGCTCAGCCATTCAGGAGACCAGACCGCGCCTCAAAATGCAAACGCTAAAATGCCCAGGAAGCACACTGCTGGAAAACCGGTCCTTCGGGGGAGCAGAGCCGGCAGTGGTAAAAGCAAATGCCCATGAACATCCACACTGCACTGAAACCCAACACACATCTGCCCAGGAGCAAGAGCTAGGAGCAAGTCGCACAGGCCAGGAAGCAAACCAGGAGGCCTGTGGAGAGAGACTCTTCCGGCCTTGGCCGG